CTAATAGGTGCTGCCAGGTTACTAATGCCCAGTGTACCACAAAGGCATCTTTCTCCCAAATCACCTAATCTCGCTCTGTCAAGTTTAACTTCCCAGATGTGTAGGCACAAGGCTGTAATATCCCTTGAACTTTCTGTTGCAATAACACCGTGCCCACAGCAACATCACTTGCATCTGCCTGGATTACAAAAGGATGCCCAGGGTCAGGATGTTTCAATACAGGTTCATTAGCGAACAATTGCCTTAGACTATCAAATGCTTTCTGACATGATCCTGTCCATTCCAGGTTTTGGTTTGGTTTTGGTTTGATTATTCCAAGATCCGCAGCAAATTGGTCAAAGGAAACGCAATGGAGGCAAATGTGGGAATGAATTGCCGATATAAATTGGCAAAGCCTAGGAAACTATAACCTGCACCTTGTGTGGGTCCATATCAACACCATCGCCTGAAATTCTGTAACCCAAATAGTCCAGTTTGATGCGATGAAATTTGCACTTTGACAATTTTCCATATAATTTAGCATCCAGCAATTTTCGAAGTACCATTTTCACTAATTCCACATGCTCTTCCATGGTATTAGAATATATTAATATGTCATTCAGATAGATTAAAATGCCTCAATACAAATGTTCATGCAACATAGCTCTGGAACAGGTCAAAAACAACCAAAGCCCAACAACCTGGTTCTATCAGCAGGCCTGGGGAACCCATAGCGGGATGAAGCCCATTAAATGGCTTGTGTGATCTGCTGTCACCAGGGCGGGGGGTGGTTTTATTATATTATACTATATTAATTTATTTGCTTCTTTTTATTAGTTTTATTGTTTTAAATGTGGTTTTATTTTCTGTAAGCCACCTTGAGTCGCCATGGGCGAATAGGCAGCAATATAAATTCAATAAATAAATAAATATTGCAGAATACTACTTAGTTAAATAAATAACAATCAAGAATTTATAGATCATCTTAGGAGAGACTTCCGGTTTGAGCTTCTTTGGCGACAGACTGAAACCTCGTCTCTGCGAGGTTTCGATCCGTGCTCGCCGCTGGAGTGTCCCGAGCCGGCTGGTTTTGGGGCTAAGCCACCCCGTAGAAATGGTGAAGAAGGGAGAGACTGCCTGCAGGGTTGAGGAGAGCCACATCTCTCCTCCCCAGCTGGCCATTACTCCCTTTCCCGAAGGCGGTTGTACCGGTGGTCAGAAATGGCCACCACAAAGAAGAACTCGACTGGAAAAGAATGTGCAGGAGAACGATTAGAAGAGAAAGTTTTGGTTGACCGGGTCAAACAGCAAAAGCAACAAATAAGGTACCCTGGAATTGAAACTATTAAAAAAAAACAATAACATTGTTCCCTAAGAAGATTTTTAAGCTGCGAAGGAGAGAGAAAAGGGAAAAGATTTGGGTTGGTTTTTTTTCTCCTTTTCCTATACTGACAGCTAAGAGACTTAAGCAAGAAATTGGAAAAAAAATCCACTTTGACATTAATAGGCATTTAATGCTGAAAATAAAAAGTCAAAGGGATAATAAAGATTTCTGGATAATCAAAAGCTTTTGAAAACAGGAAAGGAGAGAAAAAGAATAAAAGGGCAGGATCTGGAAGGGAGGAGACTGCCTGGAATTAAAAAAAAACTTACAGCAAAATCTCAACAAGACTTCCAAAAGACACAGTTTAACTGAAACATCGCAACAAAATAGTAAAACCCCAGGAAGAGAAAGTGGAAAAAGAAATAAGAAGAAACAGCTTGGGACTATTTGGATTACTTGATGATCTCTGGATTTTTGGTTATTGTATTTGAATGACTAAAATCAATCAGGTGGTTGTTTAAAACTGTTTAAAATGGCTCCACTTTTAGAAGAACTGAAAATGGAACTTAAAAAGTACAAAGAAGATGCACAAGAAGGGAGAGGTTCTTTTGGCTTCGTATTTCAGTTCTTAGAAATGGAGATTTGGAACTATGAGAAACAACAAGAAATGCCTGCAGAAGAAGAAGATTGTGACAAAGAAGAAGCCATCTTTAATGAACAAGTAATCTTAGGTGGGGGGGGGAAAGGAAAGGGGGGAAAGAGAATGGAAAGTTTAAGATTGGGAAAAACACCCCCCCCCCCAAAAAAAATAGAGTGAAAAATAAGTATAAAATCAGAAAGCAACAGAAGAGGGAAATGCAGAAGAGAGCATTAGAAGTAGAGAGACAAGGGGGTAAAAGGGGGAGGGAGAAGATGAGAGGGAAGAAAGAAAGGAAAAGAAGTTATAAAGGACAGAAACAAAATATAGAGAAACAGGGCCTATTTAGAGATAATGGGTGAAAATTTAATGGAAAAAGGGATTCTGCAAAGGTATATAAGATAGTATTGTTATATTAGAAATAGAAATAATTTTAGAAAATTTAAAACAGTGTATGATTGAAATGTTTGATAAAATAGCTATCGTAATTCAGTGGAATGCTTGTCAATAAATAAATGTAACAAAATGAATATTTAATGATTTACAAAACATATGTGAAGAGAAATAAGGGAAAAATTAATTAAGAAGATTATATGTGTCTTTAAGGAAGTATGATATTTAATTGAAAAGAAATGTTAAAGATGTTAAGATTTTAATGATTATTAATGATAGAACTGAATTGGAATGGAATGAGGGTTTATAATTTCATATATTTATAATCCTTTTTTAAAAAGAATATAGTGTGTATTAATAAGAATGTATCAAGCAAAATTTGATTGGAAGTTATGTATTATGTATTATATTGAAGGTCATAACCTTAAGGTATATATTTAAGGTATAAGTTTAAATAAGAGTTGAATGGATGTAATTAAAAGATATAAAGGTGTCATACTCCAATTAGTAACTACAGGAGAAAATTTGTTTAATGAGAAAAGATAATATGAAATCGAAACAGAACAGACAAAAGTATAAATATAATTATTTGAATTGAGATGAGATAATCAAAAAAAAAATTGAGAAAATTAAAAGAGGGGAAAAACTATATAGAAAATGTAGAAAAGTATAAGATATGGAATAGAACACAAAAAGGAGCATGAAATTGAGTTTTGTGTCTGTATAAAGAAGTTCAACCCGGGACCATGCTATTTTAAAAAAAGATGTTTTACTTGTATTTTGTATGTGTGAAAACCCAAATAAAACTTTATTTAAAAAAAAAAAGAATGTATAGATCATCTTTATAAGCTAGACAGATCTGAATAAATAATCAAACAATAAACTTGCTAGCAAATTATTACAATTCAAAAGAAAGGAACAATAACAGTGAATACAGAATTGATAGAAATCAATTAGATTGCATCATTAAATCAGTTTGGAAATTGACAGTGCCGTCATAAGTGTATCCACCTCAGAAGTCATTCTTACTGAATTAATTTATGCAAGTCAGTGTGGGGTGGGGGATAAGTATGTATGCTTATCATTTATTTTAGAGTATTTTAATGCTAATCACACCTTAGCTCTATGCACTCTTCAAATGCACATTTGTTCTATTCACTCTTAAAATGACAATTAAAGCAGATGATAAGGCAAGATGAAATGTTTAAAACAAACAAGCATAGTTTGAGTCCTCTCCTAATGTGTAATGATGCTTCACTTCCAGGTTTATAACATTGTTCTACAATCTGGATCCACCAAGAAAAAACACACGATTAACCAGAATCTCAAATAAATCCAGGGAAGGAGTTGCAAAAGATGCCCTGATAGCTGAACAATATACAGGACTGAAAGAGTTACAGGCTGACTTTCTGTTTTTGTTTTTTATTTGGGATTTGGGATTGCAGCCTCACAATTCTTTCACAGTAATCAGGATTCAGGACCAGTCATTGCTTTTTTATTAGAGATAGGAGGTGACCCATTCAGCTGCTTTTTGGGCTGAGCAGAATGAAAGAATGGAGTCACTTCCCATATGTTAATTTAAAAAAAGATTTGTCTATGATATTCCTGAATCCTGATTATTACAAAGGAAAGCAAAGGAAAGCAAACCAAAAACTGAATCAGCATGTGTGCTTGTAACTCTTTCAACCAGAGGCCTGTGTATTGTTCAGCCACTGGGACATTTTATGCAAATTACTTTTTTCACCAAATGATATAAGTAAAGATTTAGAAGCATTTTGTCACCTTCCATTGACCCTTCTGCTATATTTATCCATTGTCATCACTGAATAATGATGCCACTCGCTGAAACAACACGAAACTGAAGGAACCTAGTGTCTATGATCCAGCTTTGCTGGTGAAGAAAATGATGGCTTGCACTCTCAACAAACTCAAAAGGCTTCTGAAGTACTGGTTCCACTAACTTCACTAGATCAAATGAAGACATGGAGCCCAAGAGTCTGGAACAAAGTGTAGTCCTACCAGCCTAGATGTTCGCGGTTTATCTAGAGATCAGATGAATAGCATTTTATAGAAAAGGATTTAGGGGTGGGGATGGGGGTGAGATGTACAGTACATGCAAATATACTCCGGACTTTGGCCTTAGTTGTGTCAGCACATAGTTTATAGATGTTAGGAATGTTGAGATGTTAAAACTAAACTGCCTGGGGGATTAGGGGCACCGAATTTACCAATGACTCAAGTGCACCAACTTGAAACAAACCACCCCCGTTTTAATCTTTCGTACTGTGCGGCGATTCAATCCCGGGTTCGTTGCCTGCGGACAAAGGAGTTCTTGGTGAGAAGGTGAAGAAAAGAAGCATGACCAAGAACAGCCTCCGCCTGCCACTCCAGAAGAGAATGGCGTTCAACTGTGCGCCGGGAGAAAGAGGAGGGCACGGCGCTCACAGCTGGTCTCTCATGCTAGCGGGACTTCATTTCCACCCCCACTTCCACTAGGAAATCTAAGAAAAATCTCTTCAGCCCTCCGCCGAAAAGAACCACAAGCCAATTCTGCCAACATTGCGCCCGATTCCCCTAGAATAGTCCGACGCGCTGCCTTCTGTCTGCCAGGGCCTGTCTCTGGAGTATCTGCAGCCCGCTCTTTCGCTGACCTCTCAGCTGACTTACCTGAGATGCCTCCTCCGATCACGATCACGTCGCACTTGTTGTGGTCGCTGCTCATGGTCGCTGGTCACCGACTCCAACTGTAGCGGCTGTTCCTGCAACCGCAGAGGTTCCTTGTCAACTGCCACTCAGACACAGGGACAGGGACAGCCGTCGTGATAAGCAACACACCCCTTTCGATAGCTCAGCGGGAGACTCCGCCCGCTGCTGGCAAAGGGCGGCCGAGTCTGCAGCTCAGGCAGTGAGCCTCACCTGAGCGGACGCAGTGCTCAAGAGTTCCCCGAGTCGCCCCCGTTGTTCCCCGGCGGCAGGGATATAGCTGCTGCCTTCCTTAAGGCAGGAAATCAATAAATGAGGTCGACTGGAGCAGCGGACAACATGAAGGCTTCACCTGTTGAATGCGTGCACGCCCTGGTGCTGTTCAAGGTGGAAATAAGTTCTTAAAATATTCCCTAAAGAATAATGGGTCTGATACCACTGAGTTTTGCCAAAAGAGTCTTGCCAGTCTTTTACATGCTTCTGTTATACTCATAGATACACACACACACACACACACACACACACACACACACACACACACACACACACACCAGTGATCCATGCAAAACTTCTCTGCATAGCTTTCCTTCACAATAAGCCTGTCAGTCCAATTTCTATCCAGTTATTTTTTGCTGTCATTCTATTTTACCCCACTGACCATTGTACACGTGTGCTTCTATTGAAATCCAATGGGCATTCAGCTTCATTTCAGTGCGTTCATACTGAACATAAGCATTCTTTACAATACAATGAGTACTTCGCTTGACTTGACTCTCTTGAAAGCAGTGGGTTGATATATGGGATGTTAATTTAATATTTAAAAATGGCTTTTCCAATATATAGCTTGGAATATATATTTTTCAGTGTTTTAATGGAGTAAGCATTAATTTTAAATCCTAATATATAATTGCAAAATAATAATGGAAGCAGTCATTTAATTTCCAAAACAAATTTAAATTGGAATAACCACTATAAATATAACCTATTGAACCATCAAAAATTTACTCTTTGATTTTCTGATTTACACTTGTTTTTGTTGTTATTTAGTTATTGGTTCTTTGCCTAGGCAGCCAGCTATTTGAACTGGATTTGGCATTTTTATCCACCTATCAAATCCTTAGAAGGGTCTGGAATAGGCAGATATTGATGTTTAATGGTATTACAGATATCATCAGAGGATGTAAGCTATTCAAAGTTAAACAGCCTTTTGCAATTGACTGATGGTGAATCTGTCAATGCCGATGGTATTGGTACTCCAGTTATTTTGGAACTGTACCCAAGGTACTTATTACTATTAATACTACCTTTGCTTTCTTTTGCCATAGTCATTCTATTTCTAGTTGCAGGTCTTCTGCTCCTTATCCATGGAATGTGTCAGGAGACCATTTTCAAAGCTAAGGAGCTGGAAACAACCAATTTTTTCCCCTAAAGGCAGGATATAATTGATACTGAAAATACCACCACTGACAATTGCATTGTTGAGGCTGATTTTCATCTGCAGAACTTAGACTAAAGCATCTGGGCTAATATCTTGTTTCTTTTCCATTTCTGGATTTTTGCATTTTGCTCGATTAATTATTCTGATGAACTTTCATACTCATTTGTAACAATTTGGATAGCCCCCATCCTCATTTTGGATTTGAGAAGATGCAATGCCTTGTGCATATTTACTTCTAGGTTAAAAAAAAAAAAAACAGAAACAAAGCATAGGACTAGATAGTTATCCACCAGCTGCAACATTCAAATTGAAAGACTTCTGGAAAAATTGGTGGGGAGAGCAGTGTGATGATAATAAACAGATTACTAGAGTTACCTAACTCAAGTATAATTTTAATTTTGCAAAATTATGATATTTGATATTTGTTTGGAGGCAGCTGGATAATTCTGGATTGTATATAATTAAAGGAAAGAAAGATTAATTACCAACAGGAAGAATATACCCCAAAATCCTTATAACAGGATCTTCATCATCATTGGACCCCAAAGCCTGGTAAAATACTCACTCAGGTCTTCAACAATTTCCTGAACATTATTAGAGTGGGAACTGTCAAAGTCTCTGAAAGGATATGTTCCATAAGGCAGATGCCAGAAAAGGGAAGGTATTTATCCTCAATCCTACCAGTTTAATTGATTAATTGATTTAATTGAAACTCAAAGCATGCTCACTCTGCCCAATCTTATCAGTTTGACAGAAACAGCTAGAGATAGATGCTCCTCAATAACCTGGTTCTATGGCATGATGGGCTTTATAGGTGATCTTGAATTGCTTTCAGAAGCCTGTGGTAACTAATGCAGCTTGCAGATTGTTGATATGGTTATAATGAGGCATGTTTATCACTGTCCATAGTGCCGCATTCTAGCATACCTGTAGTTTCTTAGTGACCTTCAAGGGCAGCTCTGTGATAAATTAAATGTTGTTTTCCCAAGAGCTTGTTCTTGAGATTTTAATCTATGACAATTCAGGCACATAACTTAGTTTATAGTAAGCCTTTTACAGTTACTATTAATTAGTGCAAAATAATGTGAAACTATGAATTAGGAAATCTGTCATGACCAATCTCCCACTGATTCCTCTAAGATCTGAGAATTATCCTTCACATCAATTTTACCTAGATTTAGTTTAGACCACTATATTTGTTTTAAGATGGTGCCAATAGTTTATGAGTGTTTAATGAGTGTTAGTGTGTGCATAAGCAAAGTGTCAGATGATGATGATACCCAAACTTGACTCTATCATTTCACTAAATAACTTCAATCAGAACACGAGATCAAAACTAGCATTCTCCCAGTAGTCATCTTCCATTAATTTGGAGGGGGGGGGGGAGAGAACACAACTGCAAAACCAATCCAAATATCCTAACACAGGGATGTCAAACTCAATTTCATTGAGGGCTGGATCAGCATTATGGTTGCCCTCAAAGGGCCAGTGGTTGAGTCACTGCAAGTAGGTGGGTTGGGTGGGTGGGTGTGGCCAACTCGGCACAGCTGACTGGGCGTGGCTGACTCAGGATGGCTGGGTCAGGATGGAACATGGGGGCTAACTTGACATAGGGACAATTCGGCGCCCTACTAGCTCCTTCCATCCCCAAACTGCTTGCTGCCAAGTGTGTGTGTGTGTGTGTGTTTGGGGACTTTTATCCACAGAGGAAGGAGAGGCCCTTCTCCCCAAGCCCAGGAATGATTGGTAATTTGTAAGCTCAGATGTGGATAAAAGTCTGGAAGCTTGGAATGGTCTGGATGTGTGTGCATGCATCTGTACAGTACAGCAGAGGAGACATTCTTCTCCCAATCCCAGACATCATTGGCATTTCCCTGTCTGGTGCCAGCAGGAAGTGGAGGTCGCCAGTGCTGTGTGTGGAAGCATGGAGGAGAAGTTTGCAGGAAGCAGTTTCCTCTGAGTCCAACTCCTGCCTTGACAGCAAGAGGAGGAGGAGGCAGGGAAGCAGTGCTCTCTGGTCCTGCACGAGGGAGGCTGCCCCTTCTCAAAAGGGAATCCCCATTTCTAATTGTGTGTGGTAAGGATGCTGGTTGGTTGGGGCAGCCTTCCCTTGTGCAGCTGCCCCGCCACCCCCTCCTCCTCTCCAGATATCTCTCAAGGCAGAAGTTGGACTCGGAGGAAACTGTTTCCTACAAACTTTTTTCTCTGTGCTTCCACATGCAGCAGTCCAGGGCTCCGGGCAGCCAGCACCTGCCGTCTGGGGGTCCTCTGCATGGCCTGAGAGAGACAGTGAGGCTCCTCTGGTGGACTAGGCTCTCCAGAGATCTGTCAAGACAGAAGTTGGATTCAGAGGAAACTGCTTCCTGCAAATTGTCTCCTCTGTACTTCCATACACCACAGTGGTGACTTCTGCCTCCTGCTTTGCTGGGAGGGAAGCACAAGACATGGAAATGCCAATGATGTCAGACACTAGGAGAAGAATGTCTCCTTTGACATGCTGCGCACATGTGCACACACCCAAACACATACACAAACATTCCAAGCTGGGACACTTTTATCCACATCTGAGCTTACAAATTGCCGATCATTCCTGGACTTGGGGAGAAGGCCCTCTCCTTCCTCTGTGGATAAAAGTTTCCAAATTTGAAATATGTGTGCATTTGTATGTACACGCATGCACGCACTCGGCTGCCAGAAGTTGGGGAGGTGAGAAGCTTGTGGGGCACCAAATTGTCCCCACTTCGAGTTAGCTAGTGCAACTTGTTCTCTTCCGACCTAGCTGTCCTGAGTCAGCTGCGGCCAGTGAGCAGTGTCGAGCTGGCCACGCCCACCCAGCCAAACCTACCTGCTCACAGCGATCCGGCTGCTGGCCCTTAGAGGACAACCTGATCATGCTGATCCAGCCCTCAATGAAATTGAGTTTGACACCCCGGATCTATATTTATATTTTTCACCTGTATGGAAAAGCTGAGTTGATGTATCACAGTAAGAAAAGAGCGGGCACATTCTGATATTCTTGCATAATCTCCAGAGCATTTGGGAATCCTAAAGGGCTCCCAAAGAAGTCCATTTAACTTCTTCAAGCTTGCAGACAGAAGGTTCCCAATTTTGTATTATGGCCTCCCGATGGTGACCTGGTCATAATAACCATGGCCTTATTTTAGTGTCACCATAAACACAGCAATGAAATATAAATCTACAGTGACATGGATGGATAATATATATTTAGCTGAGAAAATAGAAATGAAATACTATCTCTCTCTCCCTCTTCTCCCTCTCCACCCCCCCTCTGCTGAAAACAAATTACTATCATCTCTCTAGCATTTTCAGATCTGCCTTAATCTAATAGGCAAGCCACAGGTCTTACTTTGTTATCAGCTGCCCTGCTGCTTAGCAACTATCTATTCCACTCCAAAGCATCCATTCATAGGGTTGCTTCTTGCATTATCTTTTAAAGATACAAATACACTTTTGCCAAAACAAGTTAGTCATGGCTGCAGTGTGGCAGGAGTCCTGTCAATTTGAACAAAATTGTGATCAGAAGTGTTTAAGCAAGATAGTGAGGACAGGTATTCTATATAAAGCCTGGCTTGTAATTGTCTTTATATCTTTGAGGTGTAACCAAATAATTATAAAATTGACTGAAGCAAT